TACTCCGTTTTCATCAATTCTCGATCATTTACTTCATTTTTTTTTGCTGCGACTTATAAACAAGTATTTCAATTTGATTCACCACCCTTACATGATCCATGTGCAGTTGCATATGTAGCTAATAAAGATTTATTTGAAGAACAAATGATGCATGTTGATATTGAACGAACAAGTGAATTTTGTCCAGGAAGAACTGTTTGCGATGTGTATGATAAACATCGAAAAGAAAAAAATTGTGTTGTAGTTATGAAAATTAAAGAAGTCGAACAATTTTGGAATATGATGTTAGAAGCTATAGAATTAGCAAATAAGAAAAGTCCAATGAATCAAACCAAATAAAGTTAATAATTATTCATTGTTGTTTTTTGGTTTTTTCTTATTTTTAAAATAAATTAACAGGAGATAGAAATGATTAAGAATCTAGGTTAACATTGAGTTAGGAAATTTGAAAATAAATTGTATCTCATTCGCATTATATTTCTGTACGTTTAAGGCTAGAATAAATCCGACATAAAGTTTTTGTGACAGAGACAATAGCTTTTTCAATAGTCGAAGGTATCGAGTGTTTCACATGTAAGGCAAGATTTGATACTGGGTGAAGTCATGAGTATCTTGACCGTGAAAATTTTCTTTATCTTCATTCCATTTGCAGAGATTGGGTTGACTTTTCCAATAGTGATAGATGAGTGTTCAAAGTTTCTTTTCTGGTCGTAAAAAATAGATCGTTGATGTACACTACTTTAGATATTTGACATACATATTGTAACCTTTCATGGGTTCCGAGTAAAACAAGTGCAAAATATCTCATGCATATTTGTATGGCTTTAAGAACGAAGAGGAATAAGAAAAATCAAGACAACCTTTAGTGGAAAATTCCAGTTGATGCATAGATACAAAATTGGTAGAATATGTCGATGGAAATGCTCAAAATGATGATCATTAGGATGAGATGTTTGTTATTCAAAAAACTAGTGATCGAAGTAAAGCTGAGTTCAAATCACAAAACCAAAGAGACTATCGTTTAATATCAGAATAAAAACGTCAGAGTAATGATTGAAGTGGCGGTCGACCATTGAAAGCAGTACTCATGAAAACTTTTCTTATGCCAAGCAAAACTTTCAAGTCCTATGTAATTGATAAAAAGATCAGCTCAACACCTTGGATCACAGTGTAGATTAGACTGCTTTCGGTCCAAGACGAACTGAACTGGTTTTAATCAAAGTATTCAATTTTTTTATCACAACGATGTTCATGATCCATCTTGTGTATCCACATTCTAAAACAATACCCTAAAGTAATGAAATACTTTAGAATAATATGAAGAGCGATTGTTGTATCCTTTAATGAAATTGAATGATTGTATGTACCACACACATGTTCAGAGGATTCGTATAATTAAGTTTTTCATGGTTTAAAAAAAACTATCTATTAATAAAGATTATATTCTTGATTGTAAATTATTCATGATTGTTTTTAAACTTTTTCTTTCTATTAATTCATGAATAATCTATAACGTACATCAAACTTATTTGTTGTTTATGTGATTAACACAACTATCTGTTTTCCTATAATCATTACTAATGAAAAACATCTTCAAGCATACATCAACTAATAATGGTTGACGTTTTCAATGCTTCATGGAATGTAGTACTTGTTTTTATTGATATCGATAAATAATTTTAGCACATTTTTTAACTAAAACTCTCAATGTCTTTTTAGTGACTGTAAAAGGAAGCCAGTTCATTCGATCCAAAGATTGCACAAATAATTATTTTTCTTCCATAAAATGCCTTCGGTGTCATTATAAGTAAACTATCGTTTCTTGTTATAACTGTGCACTATTCATCAGAGAATAAAGATTTACATACTATCAATGAAATCGATAGATTGAACGCAAAAAACGTTTCGTACTTTGAACTGAGGGCAATCCAATCCAGCAACGAATTTTGAATTATTCAAATTCTTTGCGTTTTGAATGAAAATACTCTTTGATTATGCTTCATCTATTTCTGAAAACTGATATTGAAACAAACCGATGAATATTAATGGATTTAATTCGATTTATTGTTACATTCTGAAATTTATAATTAAAGCATGTAGTTTATATGTCTATGATACTAATGACTTTTGCCATGTATAACATTTTCAAAAGTTTTCTTTTGACTAACTGGCTTAATGTAGCATTAACAACTGAAACCATTTCTATTTGATTTATTGTTCAAAATAAAAAATCATGAAAACATAAAACACAACTTTTTAGATCGTTGTAACAGTGCCCGTCGATGGTTTACTTTATCAATATTGTATTCTATCATAATCGTCTTCTCTTATCCGTGCGTGCCATGAAAAAGAACATTAGTATTGCTACCCTACTTTAACAATCATATTCTGCTTAGCCACTTCGTCACATCTCCAACAGTTACATTACTTCGAAATTGCCCTTACATAATTGTCATAAAATTGAAGAAAAAGAGAAAGATACATCATCAAAGACAAAACTAAAGAAAAAAAACCATAACGACCTTTAATCGTTCTAATGTTCGTGTAAAAATATAACCATAGTCAAGTCATCTTTCATTTTTCGTACACTTATCTAGAATGGAGAGAACGATTTGTAATATAATCCTTTTTTTTGATTCATCCGTATGTAAAACAAAACATTTTATTTCTTCTCATGGTTGATATAAGAAAAAAACCTATTTGGCTTGATTGTGATCCTGGACATGATGATGCATTTGCTATTATCCTAGCTGCATATCATCCATCACTTGAATTAATTGGTATTTCAACTGTTGTTGGAAATCAAACACTTGATCGAACAACACAAAATGCATATAAAGTTGCTTATATAGCTGGTCTTCCAAATAATATTCCAATAATACGTGGTTGTGAAGAAGCACTTTGTCGAAAACAGATAAAGTTTTCTGAAGTTCATGGGCAAACAGGTTTAGATGGAACTGATATTCCAGAACATCCAGAGTACAAAACATTAATTAAACAACAAGATGAAAATTATCTATGGAATATTTATCAAAAAATTGTTGATGTTGGTAGACCAGTAACATTAATTGCTACTGGATCATTGACTAACATTGCTTTGCTATTGAAAGTTTTCCCTCAAGTATTTCACTTTCAACTGATTTGTTTTCATTTTCATTTCTTTTTACTTCATTTAGATAAAAAATTCTTTATCAGAAATTGTTCTCATCGGCGGCTGTATTGGCCTTGGAAATATGACGCCTAGTGCAGAATTCAACTTTATGAGTGATCCTGATGCAGCTCATATTGTTTTTACATCTCCTCATGTTCCACGTCTTGTTATGATACCATTAGAGTTAACACATACTGTTTGTGTAACTCCAAATGTTAGTGAACGTTTACGTTCCTTAGCTACTCCGTTTTCATCAATTCTCGATCATTTACTTCATTTTTTTGCTGCGACTTATAAACAAGTATTTCAATTTGATTCACCACCCTTA